ATAAAATAAAATAAAATAGACCCTTGTGATTCTATTGGGACCACATAGATAATCCAGAATAATCTCCCCATCTCAGAATGTGTAATTTAATCACATCTGCCAAAGTCCCTTTTACTGTGTAAGGTAATAAATTCACATGTTCTGGGGACTAGGAGTCTTTGGGAGGGCAGTTATTTAGTCTACCACACTGATTTCTTTCTTTATTTCTTCCTTCCTTCCTTTCTCTCTCTCTCTCTCTCTCTCTCTCTCTCTCTCTCTCTCTCTCTCCCTCTCCCTCCCCTCCCTCCCTCTCTCCCTCCATCCCTCCCTTCCTTCCTTCTTTCCTTTCTCTATTTCTCTCTCTTTCAAGAATTTAAGGTGAGAATTAAGTGCTTCTTTTCTGGAACTCATGGTATTTAAAGACCTGGTAAATATGGGAGTTTGTCAGATAGTGGTAGAAAGTCAAATAAAGCCCACTTGTAGAGGGCTTTGGCTGTCTACTGCACTGGCGACAATTGGGCATTCTTGGCGTGGTTGGGAGCTAGATCCCAGAAGCTGTTGTGTACCATCCTTTCCATTCTGCATTTGAGAAGATAGCCCTTCAAAGTGTTCCCTCCGTGTCTCTGGCTTGGTTGTGTGCCCCTTTGAAGCCCTGTAGCAGTTGTTGTCTATAAATAAGTCATGCCCAGTGCCACCAAAGTTCTGAGATGAAGGGCACTTACAAGAACACAGAGAATATAGGACAATGTTAGGGATACATCCTGGTTTCATTCTTTTCCCCCTACCTCTCCTCAATCCTTTTACTTCCAACTTCGTGTAGAAAATACATGAAGGCCCCAGAGAAAATAATCAAAGCTGTGTCACACTCAACAGAAAGAGTGCTTCCCTTTAACAAGAAGGAAGAAGAAAGATAGAAGCATTTGGATAAGAGCCCAAGAGCCGACATCAATTCAGACTTTCCTGGACATCCCTCCCACGCCCCTGGTGTTATTTAACACTAGTGATAACTACATTTATTGGGGCTTATTCTTGACTCTGCTGTGTTCGGTTATCTCACCTCATCCTCATGACTGCCCCATGGAGTACTCATATAAGAATTTCCATTTCATAGATGGGGAACTAGGGCTGTAGAGAAGTTATGCAGTACTTTCCCTAATTTTTTTTTTACTTCTATATGTACATAGAAAATAATTTTAGAACTTTACCCTGAGATAAACTGATAGAGCTGCTCAAGGTGGAGGTGATGGGCCTTAGTCTCCAGCTGTTTCAGGTACCACTTACCTGTGTCCCGAAGAGGGCACACCCACACTTGTCCAAGACTGTAAGGCTAGCAAGTCATAGATTTTAATCTGTGTTTGCTGATTCTTGATTCCATATTCCTTAAAAAATGATATATATTACCTTCGGAGGGACTGTCTGAAAGCCAGGATATTGAGACTAAGAACTCTGCTTTCAATTCTGGGTTTGAAACATGTTACCATGGCATGGACTCTACTTTCTCTGAAGTTCCACTAGTTTTAACTTAAAATAATCTACAGAGTGCCTCTCCTGAGTAAGGCTTATTTGCTTGTTTGCTTTTTAAATATTAACAGTTTGGAGATTATTCTATAGTGATCAGAATCTTGCCTATTTTGAATCTACCCAGGCTCTCCTTCCACTCGACAATGAAATCAAGTTGTTCAAATTATTTGGGGATCCAGATTGGTGTATTAATATCTAACCTAGAAAGATTTGGAGAAATCTTTCATTTCTCAAGGTGATGCTACTGATATCAGGCAATTACAGAATACAGAGCCAAGCAAACTATTTTCCCTAAGGTCGCAACCTGTATATCCACAGTGCCTTATAAAACCAGGAAATTGACATTGATATCATACTGTTAACTCAACTGCATACCTTATTAACATTTCATCGGAACTAGATTTGTTTTAGCCAATAGAAGTAAGCTGCAAGTTATAAGATTTGCCTGAGATATGAGAAAAAAAAGAGAGATTTGATGAGCATGGTTGAAGCCAGTGATCAGAGAAATATAAATCCATTTAACCTGCATCAGTGATGACACATACAGAGTTCAATACTGCATCAGTAATCATTGCTTAAGCACAATTGGGTTAAGTGCTACAATGGAGAAATAAAGATTTAACATGTGTATGTAATGGGGGAACCACATCTGGTCTAAGAGGGAAGCTTCCAATAGGATAGTCACTTAGAGATCTCAAGATGGACAGGAACTAACAATTCAGTAACAGGAGTGCAAGGTGGTTCTTAGTTGAGAGCTTAGTTTCTAAGCCAGTGGTTCTCAACCTTGGCTGCACATTAGAATCACCTGGGAATCTTTTTAAAATCCTGATTTCTGGGCCTCATCCTCCGGAAATTCTGTTTCTTTGTTACTAATGTTGTGGCCCCAGAAATCAGGATTTTAAAAAGATTCCCAAGTGATTCTAATGTGCAGCCAAGGTTGAGAACCACTGCCTTAGAAGGT